AGACTCCCCATGTTTTTGTAGCAAGGAAACGAATATGACTTTAAACTGGGAGGCACGTGCTGCCGGAGAGTGGTTTTGGAGACGGGCGTGGTGCGCTCTGGAAAGCAGAGGACGGGGCGTGAGAGGAGAGCTCTCTGGAGAGAGGGAGGCTGGGAGCTGGGGCACACAGCCTGCTAAGAGGCACCAGAGGAAGGGGTAGAAATAGCCTGAGACTTGTGTCACCTCCCCTAGTGAGTATCCAAAGTCCGAGGTGAGGTGTCAGCCAAAGCCGGCAGGGTCCCCGCGCCGGCTGCGCCCTGCTCTCTCCAGCTTTACGCATGGGCTTGGCTTGTCTTCTGGCCCCAGGAGGAGGGCTGGGGAACTCCAGCCGCCTCTCCTGAGGGCACTTCTTTTCCCACAGCCACGGGGCTTCATACTAGAGGCTCCCAAGGGCAGAAGAAGCCAGCAGTCAGGGCTCTACCTCCGGGGTGAAGGACAGGCTGGAATGGCCATGGCCGCCCCAGAGAGGGGCGCACAGCCTGGCTGGCGCTTGGCAAGGCCTCTGAGTTAATGTATAATTGTGAGCAGATGGCGGGGGCTGGCGGCAGCCTGGGGCCTGGGCCCAGCTAATGAGGGACAATTAGCCCCAAACCTGGTGGGGGCGGTTGAGAGGATCAGACAGTGAAAGCAGATATTTGCTCCTCAAACAGTCTGGCGCACTGGGCAGAGGGCTGAGTGGCTGAGCGTTCGGGCTGGCTAGGCCCCCCTGCCAGGGCCCTTCCTCTCTTTCCCCTCCCCTCCATCACCTCTGGGTGGAAAGCCTCTGTTTGTTCAGACCCAAGAGTGCATTGTAAAGGCGGGGGGAGAGGGTAGTTTGTGGGGGAAATCGCTGCCACCACCATCTGCCAGGGCTTGTCCCTTCTCCCCCTGACACCCCTCTCTCCACCCTCATGCAGCTGTCTGTGGGAGTAGCAGGTCAGGACAGGGAGCCTTGTACCCCCAGAGGCAGGGGCAGATGGAGGGGAGAGAGATGAGGCAGGAAAGGAAGACTAAGAGCAGGGTGCCATGTGCTTCCTTGGGGTCCCCTCTCACCCAGAATGGCTGAGTGGAGCGACCAGCAGTCCCAGCCACCCTGGGACTGAAGGGGCTCCACAGGCAGGAGGCATGTGCTGTCTGCCCATGGTGCTGAAACCACTGGTGCAGTCTCCGTGCCCCAGGGCTCTGGCCCAGCCTGAGGAGGCTGGAGGAGGCTGGAAGAGGAGGGGAGTCCCCGTAGGGGTAAGGCAGAAAATCCACTTCTGTGATACCTTTGGCCTTGCTTTGAGTTGTATGAGTTCTTCATATATTTTGGATATTATAGTAACCCCTCGTCAGAGCTGTTTGCAAATACCTTCTCCCACTCCTCTGTTGGTTGCCTTTTTGTTTTGTTGGTGGTTGGCCTTGCTTTGATCCCAGCCTTAGGATCAAGCTGAATTTACAACATCCAATCCCCCCTCCCAAACCAAAGCATGTACCAGTGAAATCCATTTTCCCCACAGGGTCTGAGTCTTACTGCCTCACACCCTGCCTCCTCTCACCCTGACTTCTGGGAGGGTTTCACAGAACCCAAGGTATGGCACGGACCCAAATGGCTTTCCATGTTGGTTCTTTCACAAGTGACCTGCTCAAGCTTTGTTGTGATGGCAGCAAAGCTCCCGTGCACTGGGGCTGTTTCACTACCAGCCTCCCACTCCACAGGGACCACCAGCTACTGGGTGCCTCCACCCCAGCAATGATCCAGGCAACCTGTGGTGTTCTCTTTGGGAACAGGAGGGTCCTTCGTAACTTGGAGTCTAAAAGCACCAAATCCCTAGTGAAATGGATTACACCTGGATTACACCTGATTACACCTGGAAATGGAAGAATGAAAACCAGGCTGCACACCTGCTCATACCCCCTCCCCACCCCGCATCCTAACTACCTTCAGAAGGTCAGTCCCAGCCCCACCACTGCTGCCAGTGTTCTGAAGTCCAGGATCCCCCTACTTCCAGGCAAGAACTCACCCATGGTGTCACCTCAGTCAAGGAGTCAATTGGAGAATTGGCGAGGACACTCTGGGGAGAGAACTGGTGCCATGTGACACACACTCTTCTCCAAGCACCCCCATTCTCTCAAAGGTTCAGGAGCCCACTTGGCCAGTGTTTAGGCATCAGTCTCTGTACCCATTTGTATTTTATACTAATACACACAAAGACCCAGGAGTTGACCCAAACATCCAGGTATGTGCATTCTAGCTGGGAAGATGTGTCTTTGTAGTTTTGGAAGTAACTTTGGGCTTCTGTGCATTCGAAGCCTTGGAGACACGGTCTGAAATTCCCCATATTCCATATTTCCCAATCCCTTCAGGAGTACTGGCCCCTGAGTGGGTGCACTCAGAGTCTGGGGGCCTGCCTGAGAGTGGCTCTGGACCTGCTTCAGGCTGGCAGCTGGACACAAAGTAGGCTCTGATGGCTCCCCACGGAAGGACACAATGGGTCACTGGCTGTAGTTTGCCCTGCCTCAGGGCTGGTGTCAGTCAGCCCCATGCACACCTCCCTCCTCCTCTGCTCATGGCCCTGTGACATCACTGGCTGCTCCCAGAAGGCTGCCCTCTGCTCCTGAGCACCGGCTCTCTGTACCTCTGGACCCCTGGCAGGACTGACTCAGCAGCAGAGTGGAGGCTGTCACCTGGACCAGACCACCACCACCCCTGCAGCCTGCGGGGTCTCAGGCGCCTGCACAGGAGACTGAGAACCTCCCACTGAAGCTCCCACCTCATTGCCACCCACAGGTAGCTCCCTGCAGGTTCATTGTCTGCTCTGCCTCCCATGCTGTCTCCATGTCTTTGTGTAGCCAAGTCAACTTCTCTCCTCCTTTGTCTTTACAGCACCCAGCCTCCTGCCCCTTCAACCCCCGACCCTGCTTTCCCATCTGGTAAGCTTCAGTTCTTTCATCAGACAGTTAATTTGAATGCTGGGATGTGTGGTGTGGCTTCTGGGAATGGAGTTTCTGGGAGTTTGGGCATGATGCTTTTAGGTGTGGATTTTGAACCTGAGTCCCCACAGCTCCTCTGAGCTCTGGTCACTTAGGGAGGACACAATCCTATCAACGATTCGGGGTTTGGCTGGTATTCTGAGCTCCTACCCCCCAATCCTGGCAGAGCCCTTCACACTCCCAGCTTAGCTCTCCTCTCTCCATTGTGTTGGTAGCAATTACACAGACATGAAGCAGGAATGGGGGGCAGAGAAGGAGCTTGGAATTTCAGCTTTGGGTGAGGAACTGGCTTCCAAACCTTCTTGAATTTAACTCCCTGGGTAGCTCCTGACTTCAGTTTTATTTTTGGAAAAGCTTTTGCCTTCCTTCCTGACTTTCTGAAAATATGAGTTTGAAGGGGAATGTGTCTCTGCCCAGAGAGGAGTGAGTAAAAGCCAACTTAGTTACTGAAATTAAAAAGTAGCTCCGATTCCATACCCTCTGCAAGTGCATTGTTTCACCCATGCTAGTCTCCTCCCTCAGCTGCATTGTAATCTCTGGGGCGGGGGCGGGGGGCAAAAACCTTGCCCCTTTTCTTTTGATTCCCTTTATCCCTAACAACCAGCAATATGCTCATGATTAACACCTTGTTCGGTACATAATTGCAGATTAGTTAACTGACCCAAGATGGCCTGGTTATTACAGGAAAGTTCTAAGCCAAGGCTATTCTCTGCAGTGACCGCCATCCCTGCCAGGGTTCCAGGCATGAAAGGAGGTGGCTTCCACTCCAGTTACCTGCTCATAAAAGCAAGAAAGACATGGGGCCCATGACCTGTGTTCCTTGCTTGTGCTCCTATGTTGGTAGCAAACTGTTCTCTCCTGCTTCTCACTCCCTCCCTTCTACATGCCTTCGGTACATGTTAGTGGAGTGAATGAGTGTCTGATCCCAGAGTTGGTCTCTGAAGAGTGAAGCTTCACTATGGGATCTAGAGCTCCCCAGAGTTAACAGGAACCAGCAATCCCAGCAAGTTAGAAACCGCCAAGAGGTGTGTCTTCCAGAAGAAGCCAGGACTTGGGGCTTATTTATCTCTGTTTCCAACATGTGAGACCAGAACCTCAATCCTGGGGGTAGAGCTAGCCCCATGCTTCCCAGATCTCCCTGGAGAGTATATCAAACAGGAGCAAGACCTGCCCTAAAGTGTCCTGAAGGAAGCTTTCTGGCTGGTGGTTTGGGGGAACCTAACTTCAGGAGCTGCCCAAAAGCGAAGGCAGAGCCTTGAACCTGGTCTCCAGCCTCAGATATTTGGCAGCTGGCATCTTGGGTCACTGAGGCCCTCTTCTGGCTGGGCAGAGTATCCTAAGTTTGGATCTGGCCCAAGTGCATCACCCAGGGCTGAGAAGGCTATTGAGGGGTCAGAGATGACAGTTGTCTATTTGGAAGAAGAGAAGCCTGAACATTTGCAGGCATTATCCCTTTCCACCTCCCTGTACATGGACATGTGAGAAATGATAGCCCCCCTCCCTCCCAGACCCTTATCAGGACATCCAGAAAAACTCAGTCCTCTGCTGGCCCTGTGATGTTTTACTTCATCACAGAGGGGTTTAAGTAAAGAAAATTTGAATTTGCTTAGCTAACCTACTGGCAAATTTTAGAAACCTGACCCCTTATCACAATATACTAGATCCTAAGACCATTCTAAGCAAGAGACTTCACCCCAAATCACCCCCGATTATTGCAGGCCCAGCCCCAAGACCGAGGAAGGAGATCCCCAGAGGAACTCCCCTCCCCAGTCTTCCCACTTCCTGCCCTTCTGTGAGAGGTCAGCCTGGAGCATGCCACAGGATGGTAAAATGCCTGGGAGAAGTGGGAAGAACAGGGTGGCGTAAGGAGGGAGGGGATATCTACGGGTTCTGCTTCCATCCACGTGGTTTCACCTGCCCTTGGCCAGTGTTCAGGGGAAGCTTTGTCCAGTTACTCCCTCCCTGCTCCACCCTGTTTCCCTTAGATCATGGGGGTCACAAAGCAAAGTCTCACCCATGAGCCAGCTCCCAAGAAAGAGGCATGTTTGGGGGACCCCAGGAGCAGAAGGGGAGCAATCCCCTGGGGGGAAGACTGTCTCTGTGGTGGAAAGCCAGGCTGGAGGGCCCTTCATGCCACAGGGTGGGCTGGAGAGAGGGGAGACGTGGTTTGTGGATGCCTCCTTCTCATGCCCAGGGATCAGCAGTGTGAATCAGCTGGGGGGCCTCTTTGTGAACGGCCGGCCCCTGCCCCTGGACACCCGACAGCAGATCGTGCATCTGGCAGTGAGTGGGATGCGGCCCTGTGACATCTCACGGAGCCTTAAGGTAGTGGGCTAGAACTTTCACCCAGGGATGGGGACAGGACGCAGGAGAAGAGGTCCCCCTTAAGGCAAGTCTGGAGCTATTACAGACTCTGAGGGCCTTCGGGTCTTCCTAGAACAGTGGTTCTCAACCTTCCTAATGCCACGACCCTTTAATACAGTTCCTCATGTTGTGGTGACCCCCAATTTCATTGTTACAAATTGAACATAATTAAAGCATAGTGATTAATCACAAAAACAATATGCAATTATGTATGTGTTTTCCGATGGTCTTAGGCGACCCCTGTGAAAGGGTTGTTCAACCCCCAAAGGGGTCACGACCCACAGGTTGAGAACCGCTGTCCTAGAAGATCCTCTTGGGGGCTGGGATGGGGAACCTCAGGCTCCCAAAGATGAGGCTGGCCTCTCAACTCTATGGCCTGGTCCCATAGGTTTCACTTTGCCTTGTAGCCTCCTCTGTCCCAGGTAGACTCACCTTCTGCCCATTATGCCTTAGCTGTTCCTGCTTCTCCCCTGACCCAGGTATCTAATGGCTGTGTGAGCAAGATCCTAGGGCGTTACTACCGTACAGGTGTCTTGGAGCCCAAGGGAATTGGTGGTAGCAAGCCACGTCTGGCCACACCCGCTGTGGTGGCTCGAATTGCCCAGCTGAAGGGTGAGTGTCCGGCCCTCTTTGCCTGGGAGATCCAACGCCAGCTCTGTGCTGAAGGGCTTTGCACCCAGGACAAGACTCCCAGTGTAAGTGCCTTCCTCTCCCCACTCTGGGGCTGGCAAACAGGTTATCTGGGGAGAAGATCCCTTCTTATTTTGCAATGAGGCCATCCTAGGCTGGCGGGCCGGGCTCCTGGGCTCTCTTCTGAAAAGTGGTGAGAAGGTGAGAAGAAACCATGGGGGAGAGAAAAGCCTGCCCTTAGGAACTGTGTGGGCCGGGACAGAGGAGAGAAAGGATACTGGGAAAATATCTGTAGAATGCAAGCCTGGGACTGTGTACCATCTCGCCACTCAACACCTTGACACCTCCAGGTCTCCTCTATCAACCGAGTCCTGCGGACACTACAGGAGGACCAGAGACTGCCCTGGGCACAGCTCAGATCACCAGGTGGGTCTTTGCGTTGCCCCCAGGGATGATCAGAACCAAACCTAAGCAGTTTACAGTTGGTTATAGTCTCATTCCCTCCTGGCAAAAGAAAATTGAGGCTCAGAGAAGGGAAATGACTTCCCCAAGGTCACCAGCTAGTAGTTGGTAGGTCCTAGAACAAAACCCAGGTCCCTAGCCTTAGGTTCACAGGATCTGCTGATGAAGAGGCAGGACTGGCCCTTCTAACCCTCCCTCTGCCCCATGCACAGCTTTTAATAGCACCTTTCATGACCTGTGGGGTTATGCAAACCTGGACCAACCTTGCTGCTGTTTCCCCCCAAACCCTAAGCATGCACCCTCCTGTGGCATGAGTATGCCTCCTACCAAGTGCCTCTGCAGTGACCTCCAAGTGTGAATGCCCCAACAGTGCAGCTCTGCTCTTATAGCCATGCTGTCTCCTGTGCATAGCCCCAGGGCCCTGGGGACCCAATCTGACCAGAGGAATCACCATCACAAACTACCACAAGCCATTGTCCCCCTTTTCAGCCGTTTTGGCTCCAGTTCCTCGCACTCCGCATAGTGGCTCTGAGGCTCCTCGGGGTCCCCACCGGAATCGGACTATCTTCTCCCCAGGCCAAGCTGAGGCGCTGGAGAAAGGTGCTGGGCCGGGATGGACAGTGGGTCAGAGGTTGCTCAGTGTGACATATGGAGGCAATGTCCCTGAGGCCTGTGGGCAAAGGTTGAGAGGTGGAGGCTGTGGTGGTCCTATAGGGTCATTTAGAATTGTAGCAGGTGGGGAGTGGGGCCTCCGGGGGAGACCCATGCCTTGCTTCTCTCCCCATGCCCTTGCGATGAGCCCCGATCTCTGCAGAGTTCCAGCGTGGGCAGTATCCTGATTCAGTGGCCCGTGGAAAGCTGGCTGCTTCTACCTCTTTGCCCGAGGACACGGTGAGGGTGAGTGAGCTCTGCCACATAATGTGCACAAACCACAAGGATAGGGTGTGTTCCGGGAAGGCTTTGGGTTCGGGTGAGGTGGAGAAGGGGGCAATAAGGTGGAAACAAATTTGTCTGGAGCAGAAATTAGAGACAAGACCCTCCTTGTTCTCCTCTCCTTCCCCACTTCAAGCCTTTGAGTTGAGAAGGGGCAGAGAGCAAAGGCCAGAGCAGGAAGGGAAGATGTCAGGTCTCAGGAAAGGTCTGTGCTCTGAGCCAGGTCAGGAACAGGTGGTGAGAGCCATAGGTGCCAGTTAGTGGAGAGCACAGCCAGCTACTTTGTTTCTGCCCATTCTCAGGTCTGGTTTTCCAACCGAAGAGCCAAATGGCGCCGACAGGAGAAGCTCAAGTGGGAAATGCAGCTTCCAGGTAATTTCTCTGCCCATCCATCCATCCATCCATTCACTCACCTATCCTTCCTTCCTTCCTTTCTTCCTTCCTTCCTTCCTTCCTTCCTTCCTTCCTTCCTTCCTTCCTTCCTTCACTCACCTACCCAGCCTTGCTTGCGATCTACCATCCATCCATCCATCCATCCATCCATCCATCCACCCATCCATCCACCTAACATTTACTTGGCCCTCCCATGTACCAGGCCCTGTGTTAGATGCTGGACAGTCCCTGCTCTTCAGGGCTGCAGTGTCTTCATTTTACCATCCCTGGAATTTAATCCTTCTTCCCTAGTCTCCCAAGGCTCTGCCAGTTGAGGGTTGTAGCATCCACCTCTCTCACCCCTGCCAGAAGTTGCTCTCTTTCCCAGAACCTTCTTGCCTCTCACTGCCACGCCCCCCTCCCTAGAGCCGGTTTCTCCCTCTGAGTGGATCCACCCTCACTTTGTAGGTGCTTCTCAGGGACTGGCTGTACCGAGTGCTTCCCCAGGGATCGTCTCTGCACAGGTATCCAAGAAAGAGGGGAGTTTATGAACTTGGAAGACTGGAGGGCTCACTGCTTCTCCCATTCCCAGTGAAGGCCTGAGCCAGATTTCTCTCCCAGATGACTCCCCTGGGGTCCCCACAGCCCACACTTCCAGAAAGTGCCATCCTCACAGTCTACTATATGAATGGCACCCTCTGGAGTTGCATAGTGTGCATTCCGGGGGGCGGGCAGCCCTGGGGTCCCAGTCCTGCTAAACAGAAGGTATCACTGGCTGCTGAGGGTGTTCCCTTGCTTTTTTCTAGCAGTCCCTTGGCAGTGTGACCACAGTGGCCCTGCCTGTTCCAGAATCCCTGGGTCCCTCCTGCTATCAGCTGTGCTGGGGGACAGCACCAGACAGGTGCCTGAGTGACACTCCACCCCAAGCCTGTCTCAAGCCCTGCTGGGGTAAGAATACAGGCCATGCCTCACTCCTGCAGGGTGTGGGGAGGGCTAGCTGACTCCACAGGAGGGCATGGATCTCTGGTCAAGATCATCAAAGGAAACTTGATAGAGCTTTTCTCCTTGCTTGCATGGCCTACAAAGCTGGGGAGACTAGTATCCCCCGAGTCTATAGTACCACTGACAGCCATAGCAGGAAAAGGGGGTGGGATTGGGATTTGAGTGTTTCTCTTCAGGGTAAAGAACCAACATCTGTGCCTCTCCTCATCAGTGACTTGGGTGGGAGGGTTCGGGATGGGCAGCAACAATCCCAAGCTCACCCTCTCTCTGTCCCTCAGGCTACCTGCCCCCCACAGCCGAGCCCCCTGCATTCAGTACTGTCCGGCCATCCTTGCCTTTCCTTCCACTGCCCCTGCCGCCGTCAGTCTTGGTGCCCCTCAGGCCTTGCTCTGGTTTGGCTCCCCAATACTGCAAGGCCTGCGATGAGGGAGGCGGGCCAGAATGCAAGGGAGATGCGGTGCAGAGGGTCTAATGCTGGCCTGCTCAAGCACACCATTGCTCCTTCCTCCTTCCTGCATCTCTTCCTCGTTGGTGGACCTTGCCTGGTCCTGCCCTCCTGCCCCTCGTTCCTGCCACCCGATTTGAGGGACTGGAGAAGCCATGCTGACCCACTTCTCTTAGTGGCCTCAAAAGACCTCCACTTGGCAATAATAAAAACATTTTTTTAACTTAGCAGTAGTTCCTATGTCCTTCATGTTTTTCCCATGAGCACTCATACTCCCACCCTTACATTTAACAATTATAAACAGTTTGCCCTATCTATCTATCTATCTATCTATCTATCTATCTATCTATCATCACCCGTCTATCTAATCTATCTATGAATGTATGCATGTATGTATCATTTATCTAGCTAATGTGCATATGGGTGTATGTAACTATGTATGTATATAGTATGCATCTATCTAGCTATATACCTATCTATATATGTATGTATGTATATACCTATCTTGGTATTTGAGTGCTCATATACCCACACATATGCTCTCTCACACACACACACACTGATAGTACATCATAGCGCATCACCCCTAAGTCTTCCAGCATGCATCTCCAAAAAATAAGAAACCTTTTATATAACTGCAAAACCATGACCACATGAGAAAATTTTCAATAATTCCTTAATCTAAAAAAAAGGCATTAATTAATTGCATCTCTCTCTCTCTCTCTCTCTATATATATATTCAATAATTCCTTAATCTAAAAAAAAGGCATTAATTAATTGCATCTCTCTCTCTCTCTCTCTCTCCATATATATATATATATATCTTTATACATATATATCATGGTAGCAAGCAATAGAAATGTCATTTTTCACATTCTACTTGTCCCTTTATACTCCTGGGGTATGTTTGCTTGCTGCTTCTTGGCAGTAAGTTCCCAATCTGCTCAATTTTGTTCGCTGAAGAGAAATCTCTAGGCTCCTCTTGGGAAGCCTTGGGATGTAGGGAAAAAGAAAAATAAGTGGAAAAGGGAATGAAGAAGAGGGTGTTTGGGATGGGGAATGGGCTCATCCCCCCAAATTCTTCACCTTCTGAAGAGCAGGGATGGAATGACAATGCAAAAGGATGGGGAATTGGGGACATATGTGCCTATTCTAGGTACTGGTCCAGAAGTTGTTTTTCAAGAGAACTCTTTATCATCAAACACTCTAGAATTATGCTGTTCAATAAGTAGCCACCAACCACATGTGGCTATTAAAATTAAATACAGTGAATAATCCAGCTCCTCACCCATACCAGCCCTATATCAAATACCCAATAGTCACATATGGCCTGAGGCCACTGTATTGGACATTAGACATTTCCATCAGCATAGGAAGTTCTATGGGGCAGCACAGCTCTAGCATGAAATTCCAAGGATACCAGAGCCTGCCCCTGCCCTGCCTTCAATACGCTCAAGCTGGGGGCCTGCTGGACAGACTGCCCAGGGAGATGGGTGAAGCTTTGCAGGGTGACAATCTGCCTAGCACCATCTGAGAATAAGCCATTCACTTCAGCGACAGGACTGACACCAGCAATGGAAGAAGAGACCCATGGCTGAGCACAGTCAAGTGGAGAATGGATAGCCACTTGTGGGAAACTGGGCAGAAGAGAGAAAGTATGTGTGTATGTGTCCCCATGCACACGCATGCCTGCTCATATGAGTGTGGATGTGTATTTAGGAATGCTGAGAGATTCTGCATTAAATGACCTCCAAGGTCCTATCTCTCTGAAGAATGTGTTCCACTCCATATCTGTGGCCTGTTCTTCATGTTCTCTAGGAAAGGAGGTGTCCTGGCCTCTAATGTTCTCAAGCTTCATTTATTGGATAAAATTTTAACAAAATTCTTTCATATCTCTTGAGGAGAAACATACTTACAAAGAAACCCTGAGGTCATTTCTCTCAATTCAAACACAGTATCTCTCATGTTCCAGTTTCAGCAGCTCTTCTAAATGGACTAAAAAATCAAGCCCTCATTATGGTACAGTGCAGTTTTCCCAAAGTGGGGGTCAGTCATCATTGTTGGTATCTGGAAACATTTTAGGAGGTGTGTGAATGCTGCTTTAAATAATATTGAGTCAGGGGGACATATGTAAGCCTTTCAACAATAAATAATTATTAAAAAGATATTGAGTCAGAAATGAAAATATGACTCCCTTTCTATTCTGATTACGTCAAAGAGAAAGTCTTCATTTTGGCCCTAGTTTTTAGCGCCTCTGTAACAGTTGCTATTTTTTTTTTTTTAAACACAGGGACAGGGTACCTCAGGCTCTGAGCCTTGGGCAGGGAAGGGGAAAATCTAACTAGGGTTGATAACACCACTTTATTTTTATTGTAATTACTTTTATGACCATTTTCTATTTATGGCAAGGGATTCCGGCCTTCCATTTTATGATAGTGATTAAAATGATCCTTTCTACATAAATATAGTTGAGTCTTTGTCAATAAAAACATGAATAGGGCAGATGGCAAGTAGATAAACATCAAAGTTATGAAGACAGTGCAAGAATGACAGTCACCTTGGAAGCTCTGTTTTGATGGAAAGAGTAGTGGCCATTAGCATCCACTTTAATTGAAGAATTGAGCCAGAGGTCCCAGTCATGGGACCTTGGGCAAATTACTCCAGCTTCCTGCAAAAGGTAGGCAGTGATGGGGAAAGTACCTGTTGTGCCCAACTGACTGGGCCGAAGGACCAAGATAGGATGATTGATTGGTTAACTTCAGGGGTGATGGGGTGGTGGTAAAAGGGTAGGCTATATAGGCATAAGCTATTATTACCATTACCCTGTGCCCATAGGATTAATGAGCCTTCATTCTTTCTAAACCAACAGACATTTAGTCATATCTGGATTCTGAGTCCTTCAGGGCAAGGCTGACTCCTCATGGTATCACTGGGGAAAGTCTGGTGTTTCTGGTGGGGATGGGGAGGATCAATGGAAGATCCATTGATCTTCTAGGTCTCATTTGGGCTCCTCTCCACTGGCTAGGACTTGGAGTGATGTGGGGCCCCAGTATCAACCTACCCCCTCCTCCAGACCCCTACTCTGTACCGAGTAAGACGCACACCAGGGTCTTGGGGGTGGCCTTTTGTGATGTATTGTTGCTCAAAACAGATGTTTTGCTAAACTGGGTAGGAAAAGTTGTGTAAACAGATATTCTTCTCGTGGATCTTGACTCTGGGGTTTCTGTTTTGTTCAGTGTAGTAGTTTCTCCTGGAGGAATTGGATTTCTGTAGGTGGCAGCCCATTGACCTGGGAAGTGAAGAGGAAATAGAAACCGTCAGTCAGTCATTTGCTGATCTCTGGCTTTTAGGGAAAAAACCTGCAAGATCCTGTGGGAAGAGAGAGGGTAAAGTGATTTGTCCCATTCTTGATGAGGGATCACATGGACATGGAAAGTTAATTTATAGAAAAAGGCAGTAGAAATTATTTTTTAATCAAATGAATGGTGCAGGAATACCGTCAGAGTTCTTAGGGAGACTGCAGTCAATAGGTAAAATTTACTAAGTGAGAGTGTCCTAGGGGCCAGGCTGTTTACTAAGCATTATACAATCATTATCTCATGTAACACAACAATCCCATGAGATAAACACTATATTCCCATTTCACTGGTGAGAAGCAGACTTTAAGAAGTTTATTTGTCCAAGTTCAAACAGGTTTAACTGATAAAAATCTAATTACAACCCAGTTCTGTGTCCAGAAGTGAGCTCTTAACCGCTACAATACACTGTCTCCTAGAACGTCAGGCCTGGAAGGAGCCTGAGAAGTTTAGCCCAAGCCAACCCCTTCATGAATAGATCAGAAAACAAGTCCAGTGGGATTCTGTTTTATTTTTTTTCCAGTTTGGCCGTAGTAAAAGGTTTGCATAAAAAAACTGGTAGAAAAATGGAGGAAAGGAGAGAACACATATTGGGGGCGTGGGGGGTGTCTATATCTAGATTCATATTGTCATTTAACTTTCACACCACCCTATCAATTAGATATTATTCCCATTTTACAGATAAGGAAACCAAGGCCTAGAAGTGTTAAAGCAATTTCCCCAAGGACCAAGCCTTATTAACTCTTGGTTTCAGATCTATATGATGCCAAAGTGCTTACTACAACATCAACATTTTCCAAGGCAGGCAAGAGAGGTGGATTGTGACGGGACAGGTCTAAGAGCAGGGAGGTGTTTGTCCTCAGGAGCTGTGAACAGGGAATGATGGCATGGAGGCAGTATTTGAGGAAAGGGAACTAGGTGTGGAGAACAGATTATTGGGATTGGATCTACTAGGGAGCCCTTGTTACAGTGCAGGCTTTTGAAATTTTAATGTCTTCCTTCCTTTGAGATGTGTGAATCTATTTAACCCTCATAATAATCCTGTGAGGAAGGCAGATTGGATATCACCTCCATTGAAGATGGAGACAAGGAAACTGAGGCTCAAAGATGCAGTTTGCCCAAATGATACAACGATTCAGTGACTCAGCAAGTATACAACCCAACTCTTCTGACCCCATTCCAGGGCTCATTCCAACATATCCCAGCTCCCTTGAAAGCATCTCTGACTTGGAATAAGCTGGCAGGAGGGCTGCTTATCTCACCTGGTAGTAATAGCAATTAAGGAGGAGCAAGCAGCCCTGACCAGTGTGGCTCAGTTGGTTGGAGCATCTTCTTATATGCCAAAAGGTTGTGGGTTCGATTCCTGGTCAGGACACAAACAGAAGGCAACCAATTGATTCTCTCCCACACCCTCCCACTCACCTTCTGTCCCCTCTCTAAAATCAATAAGCGTATCCTCAGGTGAGGATTTTTTTTTTTTTTAAAGAAGGAGCAAGCACTGAAGAGGCCTTGTTAAGGAAGAAGCCAAGAATTTCCAGGGGGGGTGAAGGGAACAAAAGGGAGGAAGGAGAGATGGAGCTGAGGTCTTGAGCCTGAGCCATCTGGGAGGATGGCAATGCCCTAGATGGCCATGGGGAGGGGAGGATGAGGAGGCTGATTTTGAAGAGGTGGCAGGATGAAGTCAAGTCAACTGTCAATCAGGAAGTTAGAGATGAGGTTAGAGTTCAGGAGAAGGGTCAAGGCTGCAAATAAATATCTGGGAGCCATGAGCACCCCAGAGATCCAGGAGTAAGGATAGCAAGTGCACAGGGCAGAAAGCATATCTCCAGTCACTCTTTTTGAAAAAATGGGAAAACTCTGCATCTAATAAAGATAAACAGATACACAGGTATGCCTCACCCTTTCCTCTGCAGGCTTGCTTGCAAGTGCTGTTATGCGTGGCATAATAGTGAGGAACCTAGACCCGATTTCTCCTCTCTCCAGGATGTCTAGGACTAGGAACCCCAAGAGGAGAGGCACGGGTTTGGCACACATGTCTGGAGTTGATAGAGTTGTAGGACAAAAGTCAGCCCATGGTACGTTTCAGTCTTACTCTCACCTGCCACCCCTCCATCTCCCTTCTCCTCCTGCCCCCCGCCCCCCCGTTCCTGCTTCCCTCCGCCAGGTTCTTACCCGCTGTCCCTTACCTAAAATTCCCAAATACACTCTTTGGTAATGTCCTCGCTGTCTGCCAACAGGGTGCCGCTTCGGTCGGATCGCATGTAGAAGCCGTTGGGTGCCAGCACTGTGAGCAAGTTGCTCCCCTGAAGCTCGATACAGAAGTTGAGGGCAAACTTTCCCCAAGGGCGAAAGGTACCGAAGGATGTTATTGACCAGAAGGATCCACCCTGTGCTGGGAGGGGAGAGCTCAGGTCAGTGGGCCATTTGGGAGGGGAGCCTCCAGCAGTACAGCCTCTGAGGGGGCTCCCAGGACAGATGCCACCCTCCCTGGCTGCCCTGCCGGGCCTGCGCTGGAAGACCCCTCCATAGGAATGCAGGAGGGCTGGCTGCTGTTCCGCCAACCCACTCTGGAGGCCTAGAAGTGTGAAAACTGAAAGACACTCTGGTTTTCCCTTTATGATGAACAGGTCCTGAGTGGCAGACCCTGAGGTCTGAGTTGGGGCTGAGGCAGGGCTAGACTGTGAGGTGAGGGTGAGGGTAAGGAGCTACTCACCCTGAAAATGGTAGATGCCCTGGCGGCAGGGCAGCAGGTGAATGCAGTTGGGCTGGTCCATGTTGCACTGCATGAGGTCATGTCCTGATGAGATGCCCACATACCCATACCGGCCTCGCAATGCAAGGAAGGGGCGGTTGGCTAATCGAATCCCAAATTCCTCACTTGGACCTGAAAGAAATTAGGCAGGCATTATTTGAATGGGCTGCCTCTAGATCAGTGGTTCTCAACCTTCTGGCCCTTTAAATACAGTTCCTCATGTTGTGACCCAACCATAAAGTTATTTTCGTTGCTACTTCATAACTGTAATGTTGCTATTGTTATGAATCGTAATGTAAATATCTGATATGCAGGATGGTCTTAGGAGACCCCTGTGAAAGGGTCGTTTGACCGCCAAAGGGGTCGCGACCCACAGATTGAGAACCGCTGCTCTAGATGCTTTGTCAGATGGAAGCAGGAATCGGGGGGACACTAATTGCAGAAGGCTATTGTCAATATTTTAACATTTAGTGAACACCTACTGTGTGCCAGGTACTAGTGTGAAATGTTTGTGAAAGCACTTAGAAATTTGTATATTCTTCCTTCCTTTGAGATGTGTGACTCTCTCCAACCCTCATGTAACCCTGTGAGGCAGGCAGATTGGATATCACCTCCATTGAAAATGGCTCAAAGAGGTGGTTTGCCCAAATGATGGCAAAAATTCAGAGACTCAGCAAGTACACAGACTCAAATCTTCTGACCCTCCCTCCCCCTATTCCAGTGCTCATTCCAATATGTCCCAGCTCCCTTGAAAGCATCTCAGACTTGGAATAAGCTGGCAGGAGGGCTGCTTAGCTCACCTGGAATGGTGGCATTGGCTATCAGCAGGCTGTTGGGTGCGATGCCCAAGAAGCGTCCATTGGGAGACTGCAGGATGATCCTGCCACAATTCCAGTGCATACGGAAGAAGGTGTCACACTCCAGCTGGTGCCCATTCGCCAGCACTGTCCTATGGCGCCTCTGGAGATTGTAATGAGAACAGAAAAGGAACGAAAGGGATGAAAATAGCTTTCTTCCCATCATTTTTATTCCTAAACCTTCCTTCCTACACCCCACCCACTAGCCTTTGTCATTCTCCCAGGGGGCGCTTTATACTTGCATCTCCTTTTTGGAAAACATGTTGTGACCTCAGCCCTCTCACTTGCCCAGTCTGTGCTGTACCCCAGAGCCCCAGTATCAAAAAGGGACCTGGATATCCATGTGGAGAGAAATAAACCTTGGCCCAGACTCCAAAATAGTTTCAAAATGGATCATAGATGTAAAAGTGAAACCTACATTATAAAACATCTAAAAGAGAACAAAGGAGAAATTCTTTGCAATTTGGGGGTAGGCAATGATTTCTTGGGATAAAAAAAAAAGCACTAATCATTTATAAAATGTAGAAATTGGACTTCATTAAATTTAAAACTTGTTACTCAAAAGACACTGGTAAGCAAATGAAAAAGCAAGCCACAGATTGGGAGAAAAATTTACAATACATGCATTTGGCAAAGGACTTGACTTCAGAACATACAGAGAACCTTCATATTCAATAATAAGACAAACAATCCAATAACAAATGGGCAAAAAATTTGAACAGAGAAAATATACAAATGCTCAATAAGTACATGCAAAGATACTCATACATTATCAAATATAAGGGAAATGCAAATTAAAACCATAATAAAATGTCATTACACACCCATTATGTTGGCTAAAATGAAAAAGACAATACCAAGTGTTGAGGAGGATATGGGACAATTCGAATTTTTATGCATGACTGGTGAGAATGTAAAATGGTACAGTCACTTTAGAAATCTATTTTACATTTTCTTAAAAAGTTAAGCACACATTTTATCAGTAGTTACAATGCTGGGTATGTGCCCCAGATAATTGAAAAAATAGGCCCACAAAAAGATGTATACACGAATGTTTATAGCAACTTTATTCATAATAGCCAGACTGGGAACAACTCAAGTTATTAACAAGTGAATGGGTAAACAAATTATGTTTGTGATTTTTCAATTTGTTTTTTATTGACTTTTTTAGAGATAAAGGGAGAGGGAGAGAGAAACATCGATGCAGGACATCTATCAACCGCCTCCTACCTGGGATGGCGCCCACAACCTGGGTCCCTGCCCTGACTGGAACCTGTAACCTTTCTGTGTACAGGATGATGCCCAACCAACTGAGCCACACTGGCCAGGGCTGTTCGTGTTTTTGAGTAGTGACATACTACTCGGCAATAGAAAGGAATCAACTTCTGATATGTGCAACATCATGGAAAATTCAAACAGTATGCTGAGTGAAAGAAGTATACGTACTGTAATACGGTATGATTCCATTATATGAAACTAGAAGCCCGGTGCACGAAATTTGTGCACGGGTAGGGTCCCTAGGCCTGGCCGGCAATCAGGGCCAATCTGTGGGGCAACCAGCGGGGCAATCGGGGGGGGGCCCCCCCGCTGGCACCCGCCTTGGTTGGCCTGGGGCCTGCGGGCTGGGGCAGCTCCTGCATTGAGCATCTGCCCTCTGGTGGTCAGTGTGCATCATAGCAACTGGTCGTTCCGCTGGTAGTTCCACCCTTCAGTGGATTTGCATATTAGGCTTTTATTATATAGGATTCTGAAGTAGAGAAATCTAAATGTAATCCACAGTGGCAGAATACATATCAGCAGTAGTGAGAAGAGCAAGGGTGAATGGAACTGACTGGAAAGGGGCAAGAGGGAATTTCTGTGGTGGTGAAAATAGTCTCTAACTTGTTAAATGGTTGTGGCATGGTTGCATAGGTGTGTATACATTTGTCAAAATGTATTAAATTGCACACTTAGAATGGGTGTATTTTATTGTGTGTGAGTTATGCCTCAATAAAATTGATTTTTTTTAAAGATTTTTTTTTTGTCAAATATATTTCTTTGATTTTTTACAGAGAGGAAGGGAGAGGGACAGAGAGTCAGAAACATCGATGAGAGAGAAACATCGACCAGCTGCCTTCTGCACACCCCCCACTGGGGATGTGCCCGCAACCAAGGTACATGTCCTTGACCGGAATCGAACCCGGGACCCCTGAGTCCACAGGCCGACGCTCCATCCACTGAGCCAAACTGGCCAGGGCTGATTTTTTTTTTTTTAAAAAAGGCTCCATTGGCCCTAATGCAGTGATGGCGAACCTTTTGAGCTCGGCATGTCAGCATTTTGAAAAACCCTAACTTAACTCTGGTGCCGTGTCACATATAGAAATTTTTTGATATTTGCAACCATAGTAAAACAAAGATTTATATTTTTGATATTTATTTTATATATTTAAATGCCATTTAACAAAGAAAAATCAACCAAAAAAATGAGTTCATAGGTTCGCCATCACTGCCCTAGTGGGTTGGTTAAGTGGTTAGAGCATTGGCCCTTGGACTAAAGGGTCAATGAGGGCTGGATTCTGGTCAAGGACACATACCTCAGTTGCAGGCTTGAATCCCACCTCCGGTTGGGGTGCATGTGGGAGGCAACCAATTGATGTGTCTCTTCCACATGGGTGTTTCTCTTTCTCTTTTTCTCTCCCCCTCACTCCTCCATTCTCTCTAAAGTATCAATGAAAAACGTATCCTTGGGTGAGAATTAACAACAAAAAAGAGAGGCCTCATTGAATGAATATTGGTCCATTGGGTGAAAATGAATGTTTATTGACAAGGGCCTCCATGGTTCACTCTACCATCTGGTCATCTGCCTTGAAAAAGGATAAAGTGTGTCTAGAGAGAAAGAATTTAGGGCTTAAAGATTATCTTGCTCAGAAAGCCAAGTCTTACCTGGGCTAGGTAGCAACCATTGGCTGAACGAAGCTGCAAAATGGGTCTGTCATTGTCACTTTCAAACTGGAACAACGACATTGGGGTTAAGTGTTCAGAGGCAGCATATACCTCAACATCTGCAGAAGAAGAATATGTCATAATAAGCCTGAGTCTGGTCTCATCCTCAGTTTCAGCCCCTTCTCTATACTTTATGACTGGGGTTCCCTCTGCTTTCCCTCCTTGTCCTTCACCACCTTCTATTGGACCGTAGAAGCCTGGAGAAGACCCAGGACCCTTTTCCCTAAAGCCCACACCCCTGCTTTATTGCCCTTCTTCATGGCACAGAGATCTTGGGACCCCTAGATATTCCCTATGAATAGGTTCAAAACTCCTCACTGATCCCAAACACATTTTCCTCTTCTCAGTAGCTAGCCCTCCCTTCCTCCATGGCTGCATCGGACCCAGTACTTGCCATAGAGGACAGAGAGGAACTTCCGAGTCTTTGCCCTGAGGCTGACCCAGGTGGGGCAATGCTGTAGGATGAACCACTCCTCGCCCCTATGGGGATTGGAGCCCAGGCCCAGGAGCAGGCGTGGGCCCTGTGCATACAACATGCCCCCTTCTCCATCACTCAGTGCCACGACTCCTCCAGGCCGCACTTGCATGTGAAAAGCAGTCTGTGACGAGGGTTGGGAGACCAGTTGGTCTAAGTGGGACAAGAAACAGTGTGTAGATGTCTCCAGGTGGTAGCATCCATCTTGGAAATGCAACAGGAATCCACATTCCCCCAGGCAGGGAACTGGTGCGTCCACCCAGACACGACCCGCAGTAGAGTCAGCCCTGGCATAGCAGTGGTTGAAGGGGCTGTAGAGGACCACGTGGGCATGCAGGGCTGGCCGGGGCGTCCACATATGGTAAGCTGAGAGGACCCGGGAGTTGCAGAACACATCGTGGCCATCGGACTCCAGATAACGACCACTGATTATGCACTGGAGGGTCCACTTGCCATTGCGGTGGAAACGGAGTAGGAAGCATCCATGGTGGCTTGTCCTTGGCCGGTCATAGCACAGAGAGCCATCTGCCTCACACAGAAGGTAGAGGCCCTGCAAGCTCCTTAGCCGTACCACAGCCTGTGTCTCATGCTCATTGCTGACCAGAATCTCCCAGGTCTGGAAGCATTGGGAGGGAGGAGAGGGAAATCAGTACTGCAAGTGGCTAGACCAAGGAGTCCTACAACCATCACCTCGGGAACCACCCTAGAACCTTCCTTAAGTCCAACCAACTTCCCCTCCACCCCAGTCTCCTTGATGTTGGTTTCTTTACTCTCTCATCCAACAGTAATCAAAAGATCTCAGGACACCACCCGCACTGGAGCCATAGGGCTTCTCAGGATCCCAAGAGAAGTTCTGGATGCCCACCTCCAACTAATGGGAGGTAAACCTCCCTCTCTTCCTTGACCACTTTCATTACCTAGTTTTTTTAAAAAAATGTATTTTATTGATTTTTTACAGAGAGGAAGGGAGAGGGATAGAGAGTTTGAAACATAGTTGAGAGAGACACATCAATCAGCTGCCTCCTGCACACCCCCTACTGGGGATGTGCCTGCAACCAAGTACATGCCCTTGACTGGAATCGAACCTGGGACCCTTCAGTCCGCAGGTCGACACTCTATCCACTGAGCCAAACCAGTTAGGGCTACCTAGTTTTTAAAGAAATGTTTTGGTTTAAGTCTTACTTCTCTCTTCCTTACTATTGCCCCTGAATAGCATACTCAGCCAACACTTTCATCTCCAAAGGACACCTCCTGAACATGGCAGGAGAAAAGCAAGACCTCTTACAGCCAGGCCTGGGCTCAGGGATGAATCAGGGAGCACAATTTAGATGCAATTGTTTGCTTTAGCTGCGATCAACCCTCTTATAAGCGAGAGGATCTCGCTACTGCTTCAATCTTAGTGCCATCCCAGATGGGCCTACATCGCTCTCTAAAATGAGAACCAACTCTCCTAGGGCTTCTAGAGTACCCCATTTCCAAACTACAACCAGGACAGAAACATAGTCTTGCAGTATCCACTGATTTAACTGTTGGATCCCCCAAATTCTGCCTTCCAGCCTGAGCTCTTCACCTCTCCTCTTTGTGATGACACAACCACTCTGTGCTGGAATGCAGGGTAGGGGACATACAGAGCTAGACAAAATAGCGAGGCCGGGGCTGAGCGTCACCTCCTGGAATAGGTTTAGAGACAGGGAGATGGAGCAATAGAGACCTGTGGGCAAGAGCCTGGGGTAGAAGGGTCTTGAGCTAGCAATGGCAGAGGCCAGGAGAGTAATTAGGTAGAGTGCACTCTCCCCCTCCCCTCGTCCCCCCACGTGAGAGCTTAGTCACTGGGGACAATGGTTCCAGTACAGGTTGACTCTGTTACCTGTCTCCGGCCCAAACCTTTTGCAGTAGTAGTGACCATATTCTTATATGGCTCATAAGTGAGGTAGGATCCTGCCCAGCTGATGAGCCCAACCCTTAGGTCTTCCGGCTTGGGTCGTCTTTGCATCCATTCCACCTCCTCCATGGGGCCGGCACCACAGCTGATGACTCCTTCCGGCCCAGCCTTCCCCCCAGTGGTGAGGTTCCACAGGCCATAGGGCCTGGAATCAGGCCCAAAGCACCCACCGGAAGACGTTCCCAGAGGGAACTTTCCAGGCAGAGGCTGACTAGGGCTCAGCACCTCTGTGACCCGGGCGCATTGTGACTGAGAGCTGCCCCTCATCCCACCATAGTGGGGAAAGGGCCCTGGCTCAGCATCAATCCATGACCCAGAGGAAGTGGGCCCAGGCTCGGGCATGAGCCTCTCCACACCACTCCGGGCACTGATGTGGGCTGAGTTAAGACTGAGAATCAGAATTTCAGCTTGTGCCAGTGACCACCTGTGACTTCAGGTAAGTCCCTCTTCTTCTTCACTTCTGTTTCTCTTTTTAATCACAGGGGGGGAAAATCAACCCCTTTTCTCCCAGAAAGTGGGTTCTACCTGGCTCCCTTGGGGCTTAAGGTGTTTTTGGAGTTCATAATATCCAAGAAAAATCTGTTAACTTTTATGGCCCTTGGGAGGATGAGGCTAAAATGTCAGGGAGGGTGAGGATACCCCAGATCAGTGGTTCTCAACCTTGGCTGCACATTAGAGTCACCTGGGAATCTTTTTAAAATCCTGATTTCTGGACCTCATCCTCCGGAAATTCTGTTTCTTTGTTATGGGGTGGGGCCACAACATTAGTAACAAAGAAACAGAATTTCCAGAGGATGAGGCCCAGAAATCAGGATTTTAAAAAGATTCCCAAGTGATTCTAATGAGCAGCCAAGGTTGAGAACCACTGCCCTAGATAGATAACCAGCAAGGATCAAATGACTCATTTTAACCAGGAAAGGCTGGCTCAGGAGCAGGGGAAGAGAATAGCCCGGGAGGGGAGAGTCCCGAGCACCCATCATAATCCCCAGCTGCACTGCTGCTGCGCAGACAACCAGTGCTGCCTCTAATACCAGCCCAGACCCCCAGAGTCTCTGTTAGCCTTTACCTCCGGGACTCACTTCCTACAAAGCTCATGGAGAAAATAGCCCACAACCTGGAGAAACTGACATGAAAGAAGGGAGAACAGCAAATAAAATAAAATACTAGTAAAAGGGTGGCGATGGTAGGTTTTAAGCTTTGCTGGGATGCAAAGGGAAACAGGCAGAGTGAGTCACGCTCGGAGAGTAGCCCACAGCCCTGGTCCTATTCCCCATTGGCAGGGGTTGTCTACCCAGGTAGAGAGTCTCAGTGGTGCACAGTAAGGAATGTAATCCCTAGGCCCTACCAATGTTTCACAAAATAAGGCGAATAGACCACAGAATCGGCTGCGTGACTTTAAAGATGCATGTTCATGTTTTCTCCAGTGTACCTCAGGACTCTTGTTTTTAACGAATGTTCCCTCCCCCTCAAATTTCAATGTGATAGTAATCATTAAGAACCACAGCTGGCTAGGAGATGGATAGGATATGAGAGTTATGTGGTTTACAGAAGCAAGAAGTTAGATCCTGTTACCCTCAGCAAAGGCCCCTTGGAATTGGGAGGAAATAGGATTTCCTCCACTGGAACCCCTGCAGTACTTCCCGCCTCAATAAGGAGGGAGCTGCTGAGCTACATGAAGGCAGCAATGTATGTGTGTGTGCTTGGGGGGAGGGGGTTTGGCCCTGCAGCCTTAGCTGCTTTGAGCCTCCCCCATATTGTCTCGTTGCATCCAATAACCCAGCCCCCACTACTAGGCTACAGACCACATCATGTACAAACCACAGCAAATTTATTACTCAATATCCAGTGCCATATCTTAGCACCACCCGGAGCCCCCCTCCCCTCCCACCTGGCCCCAAGGGTATGCCCAAAATGGAACAAACAAAAGTAAACCCAGGTCCCTGCTCCTCCTCTGGAAGAAAGGGTCTCGGTCCTAAAAGCCCCTTCCACAGGTCCCAGCAGGCAGGAGAGTGGACCCCTCTGTGCCCGGAGAGCAAGGCTCCAGGCTCCAACAACAGAGAGAACATGCAGGCAGGAGGGGCAGGAGCAGAGGCCTGTGTCTGTGGGAGGAGGAGCAGGAGGGCAGGGCACTGCCTGAGGAGTCCGGGAGTCTGGTGATCCCGGGGATGCACGCGGGGGCTTCCGGGCAGCAGGGGCCGGCCCCTGGTTGGTTAGCGCTTAGACAGCTCATGGGACAGCCAGTCCAGCCCATCGTATAGGCCTGTGCCTTGGGTGGCACAGGTGGCCTGGACGTACCACTGGGGGGAGAAGGAAAGAAAGAGGTTAGTATCAGGGAAGAAAAAGGGGGATGCCTTCATTTCCTGCCCAGCCTGTGGCTCCCTTGGGAGAGGCAGGACCCTCACCGTGCGACTGCGCAAGTGCTGCAGGCCCAGCTTGTCGGTCAGCTCGCTCACGGGCATGGCGTTGGGCATGTCCTGCTTGTTGGCAAAGACCAGCAGCACCGCATCCCGCAGCTCATCCTCCTGCAGCTGAGAGAGGCCAAGGGGGTGGAATCTGGGGTCCTTTGGGGTCCCCAGGCTCCCTCTTCCCTGCTGTGTAGGGAAGCTCTCCTTTCCTCCTTCTAGCATATTTATGGGAAAAACAAAATATTGTGTAGTCTACTGCTGAACACAAGACACAGAGTTATAATTCACTGGAGGCCATCCTGGCCTTAAGTCTAGAAAGAGCCTTTTTCTAATTTGAGTAATTGCCCTAATCAAAATGACAAAATTTCGAAATGGAAAAGCAAGAACGTAAGATGATGTTTCTCTCCACCACATATTCCCCTCTTCCCACTAACTCCTCAGACTCAGAGGTGAGGATGTGAAAATTCATGTCCTATACTTGTTACCTGACCCAAATTCAGAACAGGGTGAGAGTCTCCTTGTGTCTGCGTCCACAAAGAGAAACACACATTCAAGGCCCGTGAGGCATTTCCTGACTGCATACCACGACAGAGCCCTGTCTCCACACCGAGGGCTCAGTCCCAGGGCCCTGGCGCTCACCATCTTCTGAAGTTCATCAGCCGACTCCTGGACCCGCTCCCGGTCATTACTGTCCACCACGAAGATGAGACCCTGGGCAGAAAGGAAGGTGGAGCAATCACTCCCGTCTAGAACATACTTTAGTCTGGCTCTTTCTCTCTTTAATCGTCTCTAAAAACTTCCACTAAGGCTCGGCAGATGTCCTGGCACAAAGTGGAGGCACCCTGCAAAGGATACAGCTTCTGCCCTCAGGCAAGCAATCTAGCTAAAAGACATAGGTGGGAACAGGGAGAGAGGTATGAGAGCTAAATCAGGCAGCCTGGACCCTGGACCCCAACCCTGCTTCTCAGAACACCCCTAAGGTGGCTGGGTCTCAGAAGACTAAGGCCAATTCTGAAGGATGATGAGAAGCTAGCTTACCAAAGGGAGGGGGGGGCGGAGTGTGAAGGGAGCAGGGCTTTAACCTGGCCTGGGGGCCCAGACTAGGCCAACATCTCAGTCTTCCTAACCCTAACACCCCCTCCCCTGGGGTTGGAGAGACATCCCTGCCCCCACCTGAGTGTTCTGAAAGTAGTGCCTCCACAGAGGCCGAATCTTGTCCTGGCCTCCCACGTCCCAGACCGTGAAACAGATGTTCTTGTATTCCACTGTTTCCACGTTGAAGCCTGCAGATAATTGGGGGGAAAAAAAAGAGAGAGAAAAAGTCCTGAAAGGAAGGAACTCACTAAAACTAGGTGAATTCAGCAGGGACACAAAACCAGAGGGCAATGATCAAGGCCCAAGGGATCAGAAGCCCAGAGACCAGCAGTCCACAAATGGGGCGGGGTTAGGGCACATCCAGCCCTCCTGGGCACCATCCAACACGTACAGATACCATGACCCACTTCTCAGGTAGCTGTATCTGGTGTCAGCTCCCAGCACTGGGGTGCAGAGTGGGGGGTAGACCCCGAGGAGGTCAGCCGCGGCGCGCTCCCGCTCCTCCAATCTGGCCTCCAGACTCACCTATGGTGGGAATGGTGGTGACAATCTCCCCCAACTTCAGTTTGTACAGGATTGTGGTCTTGCCAGCTGCATCCAAGCCAACTGCAAAGGAGAGGGGCCTGGCGATAGAGATAGGAGCGAGGGAGCCCCCTAGAGACCAGGGAGGGGGAAAGGCCAGGACAGCTGATGGTGATGATGGTGATGGGGCGAGGGGCCGAGAGCCCAGCGCCTTCAGGTGAGCGCTGTGGTCCACCTTCCGGGCCTGGAGGGCAGTCTGGGTGGTGAGCGAGCGCCAACTCCTGAACCCAAAGCCGGAGAGGAGGGACGGGAGAGGACTAGGGGTGGAAGGTCACAGGAGGAGAGTCCCGCTCCTCTGAAAAGTCGTCTCCAAGGGCGGAATCCTCCCTTCTCACCAGCCGGGCTGGGGCGGAGGGCGCTTCACCCCACCCAGGCCCGCAGCTCCCGGTCTCAGGGCC